GAGAGAGAGGGAGAGAGAGGGAGAAAGAGGGAGAGAGAGAGAGGGAGAGAGAGAGAGATGAGAACAGTGTGGGCAGTCGCTGACATAGGTTCGGGGTGGACTCTGTCTTCCAGGGATGAGGTAGAAGGTACAGCCTGTGTTGAGAGCTGGATAAAGGCCTTGACTGTGGGAAGAGACCTTGGTCTTCGTCCTAAGGGCCAAGGGAACAACAGAGGAGCTGGAAGCAGGGGCTTATGTGCAGCAGGGAGGTGAGGTAGAGATGAACTGGGGTCAGTGACCCAGGCAGAGTGGCGGGACCCAGTCGGATGGAGATCCAGGCACTTCAAGGGCAGGTGGAACACTATGTGAGCCTGGGAGGGGCAGCGTGCTGGACACTGCAGACCAGGAGGTGGCCCAAGGACAGCCCCGGGCAGGGGGAAAGCAGCCACTGGTGTCCTTACATTGAGTAGGAGAGTGACTAATGGAGGGCCAGGCGGACCTCTGAGGCCTGCGTGTGCACGTGTGCACGGGCCTGGACGCCCACTCACACCCACACACTCCCTGCACACTTCCTCATGCGTGTATTTCTCACACATGCAGCACTTATGTGCATGCCCGGGTGGCTACTCATACAAACGTGCACACACACACCCTTTTTCATTTCCTTTTGCAACTGAAAAACCACAATAGGATTTGAAAATAGAATTTCCCCATCCAGGCACCCCTGGGGCCGGGGCGAAATTTTCCAGACTTTGTGTTTTCAGCTACTACTTGGCCCTCTAGATCACCAGACCACAACCTCCTCCGGGTTGGGCTGGGTCCCCTGGTGCCTCCCACGCCCCTCCCTCAAGGCAGGCCTCCTCTTATTTCCTAGCTTCCCTCCCTGATTGATCTTAGACGAAACACCTCAAGTAAAAGATGGGAGGAGGTGGCAGGGCGGAGGCTTGGGTTCTCCCCACCTCACTTGGGTTCAGTCCTTCCAACTTGTGCACCAGGCCCAGCTCCTGCATCACTTCCTCTGGGAAGCCATGCCTGACTCTCTCCTGTGGATTTAAAGCATCATCCCTAAATCAGGCCACTCTGACCCTCAGTACCCCAGGAGTGCCACCCATATTAGACCAGGGGAGGAGCCCAAAATGCTTTAAGGATTAACTAGTCTGCTCCACCATCCTTAGTGGCACTTCTTTTCTCAAGGGCACTTTATGGTTCCAACTGGCAGCTAGGGCTCCAGCCCTCACTTCTGCATTTCAGGCAGAAGTGAGAATGAAGGAGGGGGACGAAAAGGCTGTACCCCAGTTGTCAGTAACTCCATTAAGGAGCTTTCCTGAAAATCCCAACAATCTTGGCTTGCATTTCATTGACCAGAGTTTAATCACGTGGCCACACTTAGGTTCAAGGGAGTGTTTCAAAGGAAGAAGGGAACACTAGGCAATGGCTAGATATCTGGCTGTGTCTGCTAAGCTTTGAAGCTGCCCACCAGCTATTTGGGAGTAAATGGTGTGTTTGAGGGGTGCACTCTCCTAGAAATGTTAAACACTCCTGGGGTGGTAGGTAGGGGCAGCTTCTTTGTCTCTCCTGGTTGAAGTCATCGCTGGATTCCTGAGTAGTCGCCCCAACCATCATGCCCCAGATCTCCGGGCTGCCTCCCCAGCCCTGCCCACAGACACCCCCCCCCACCACCCACCCCCAACTGTCTCTGGGAGTTCCTGGGGAATTGTCTCAGGGGACGGGTCTCCCTGGCAGCTGGCTCCAGCCCAGGGCCACGTGAGAAGGGTGGGTATCTAGCGGATGGGGGCTGGTCCAGAGACCGAGGGCATCAAGGCGCAGGGCTCTGCATCTGAGGCCTGGAGGGGGGCAGCGCCTCCTCACTCTTACCCTGCTATGTCCCTGCTCTCTGCTCCTGTCCCTATCTGTCCATCTTCCCTGTCTCTCTGTCCTTTGGGCTGTGGGAAGCCAGGCCCTAGCTCAGCACAGTCCCATGTGTTTCCAGGCACGAGAATCAACAGAGCTTTACAGTGGCCCGGACCTATTCCTGTGAGTCACCGAAAAGAAGGGGTCTAGGGGCTGGGCTCGGGGTTGGGGGTTTCACAGCAAAGTCCCTTCTGTCCTCATTGCCCTGAGGCTGTGGCCACAGCTGATCTGGTGGGGTGATGGAGTGACGGGGGTGGGGTGGGGCGGGGAGAGTGAAGGACTACACTGGCGGGGTGGCCTAGGGCCCAGCCAACACCCCCTTGTTCTTTGCAGTGGCTGGGCAGGCCTGGCCTGGGGCCTCGATGGACACAGCCTCTGACATGGCGTCAGCAAGGTAGGATGGGGCCCCTGTCCTGGACCCTGAGGGGTCACAGCACCGCAGAAGACAATGAGAAGGTCCGTGGGGTTCCACCTGGCTGAGCCTAGGCCAAGACCTCACGCCCTCCTTGGACCTCAGAGACCCAGTGCTCGGTGTTGAAGGCCCCACTAGGGGGCTGAGGACTTCAAAACCCCAGAAACACTAGGGCCCCTCCCCCAGCCCCTCCTCAGCCCTTACCTCTCCCCTCCCCTGCAGGAAGGATAAGCTGCTTCAGTTCTCCCCCAACCTCGAGGGTGAGTGATGCTGGGACACAGGGGTGGGGCAGGGGTGAGGTGGGACTGAGACAGGTGAATACCTGGTGGGAAAGATACTGTGCAGGGGTGTCCCCCGGGAGATGTTCAGGCCTGACAGGGAGGCCTTTACAGAGGAGGCAGAAGGAGGCACAGGAGACAGCCTGGGAGGCCTGATGGGATCGGCCTAGTGGGGGAGGGGATAGAGAGCAGGTGCAGACATGTGAAGGTAGGAAATACCTGGCTTTTTTCCCAGATTCTGCATCTCCCAGGTACCAGAACTTCAGCAGAGGTAGGTGGGCTCTAGGGACATGCGGGCTGTGATGGGGGCCTACCGCCTGGAGCTCACGCCTAATTCTGCCTCCTCCAACAGGAAGCAGACACGGATCAGATGCAGCCTACATGTGAGTGGCCTTCTCCTGCCTGGCACCTCCCCCACCCCGACCCCCCACCCCCCCTGCCCTGAGCTGCCTTGTTTATGAAGGCCTCATCCTAGAACCTGCCAGCCCAGGCCCAGGCAGGCCTCAGCAGTGTTCTTTCCCCTCAGATGGTCATGGCTTCGTGGACCGGGGACAGGGACAGGGACAGGGACCTGCTCTGGGAAGGGGCTATCTGGAGGGACTCATCCTGCATCACCCAGTCAGAGACAAGTCACAGGGGCATCTGGAACGCCAGAGAGGAAGGGCCCTGAGATGTCTCATCTTACAGAAGGGCAAACTGAAACCCAGGGCAGTAAGGACTTGTCTAGGGTCGCATGGCAAGGTGGCTGGAGCCAGACTGATACCCCCTCAGCCCCAAGGGGTCCAGGGAAGTGGGATGGAGAGATTGGGGGAGACCCTGGCTGAGCCCCCACAGTCCCCTGAGGGAGCGATGGCTGGACCAGCCCTGGCCTCACTGCCCTCCCCCGCCCCCCATGGAACCCCAACCCTGACCACAGGCCTGCCCAAAAACTGATGCTGTGTCTGTTTTCTTGCCAGATACCCCATCCCCATGGACTATTACAACTGGGGGCAGTTCCGGAAGCCCAAGGAAGGTGAGGCGGAGGGGAGGACGGGAATACAGACGCGCGGCACTGGAGCCACAACTCATGGGGCCAGAAGTGGTTAGGGGGAGACCGGGCCTCAAAAGCTGGCTGGATGGCAGAGTGGGGTGGGGGAGATGAGGGAGCTGGCAGAGCCCAGGTGCAGAGGAGGGAAGGGATGTAAGGGAGCTGGGAGGGTGAGCCCCAGGGGCGAAGGAGCAAGAGAGGGTGAGCCCCAGGGGCGAAGGAGCAAGAGAGGGAGCTGGGGGCAGGGACGAGGGGAGGCCGGGCCCCTGTCGTCCAGGCCCTGCTCAGTTCTGGACACTATGGGGCCTGGGAGGAAGGCCCTGGATGGGGCAGACTTGCTGATGGACTCTGAGCCCTGCAGACTCTGAGAATGCTGGAACCCTAGGCCCTTAACACCTTTGCTTTACAGAAAGATAAACTGAGGACCAAGGGTGGGCAATGCCTGCTGAGAGGTGCACAGGCCTGGTTTCCTGCCTGGGCCATGCTGGGGTGGGGGGGGGGTGAGGCACCATGGTGGGCAGGGGGCAGTCCTCTCCTTCCCCCCTGCCGCTTCCAAATTGGGGTGGGGCCCTCATTTCTCAGAGCCCGTTTGACACAGATGGACGCTGGGTGGGGAGGCGGTTAGAGCTCAGCTCCCTGTTGGGGGAGGGGAGTGATGCTGGGGTGCCAGGCTCCATACGCCATACCCAGCCTAGGCCCTTGGGCAAGACACCCAGCCCGCCCAGCCCTACCTGAAGGGCCCTGCCTCCAGATAAGCCTAGGCCTGGCTCCTGTCCCTCCTGGGCCCCCAGGGGCTCCCCCTGCCCTTCATTGCCAGATAGAGATGTGCCTCCCTGCCTCCAACTATCGATCCTGTACCTGAATGCGGACCGTCCCTTAATCTCCCCTCCCCAGTGCATTGAAAGGGTGACCTCGGAGGACAGAGAAGGAGCCCAAGGTGGTGGCCGATGGAGCCAGGCCAGGTCCCATGAAGAAGCTTGTCCAGTGCTCGCTTTGGCAGCACATATACTAAAATTGGAACGATACAGAGATTAGCATGGCCCCTGCGCAAGGATGACACACAAATTCGTGAAGCGTTCCATAAAAAAAAAAGAAGCAGCTTGTCCAGGAGCATGTTCAAGGACCCGGGGGAGCCAGAGGGAGGGGGGTTTGGCAGGACACTGTCATCTGCCGATGGAGGGAAGGGGGCGGGGCAGGAGGAGGAGCCAGGGTTGATGGACTGCGCCCACTGCATCCTGAGCCCGCTCCCCGCTCCCCTCTCCCCAGCAGATGACGATGATGCTAATTCCTATGAAAACGTGCTCATCTGCAAGCAGGAGCTGCCCGAGTCAGGTGAGGCTGCCTACCCAGATCTGGGCAGGGACTGGTGAGGTCTGAAGTCCCCATGGCTCAAAGGCATCACCCACCTTGAAGCCGGAAAGTTCACTGATATCTCTGGTGCCTTTTGGTTAAGCATTTCCTTGTATCCAGGGAGAAAGCCCTATTATCCTGGGTCTATTGGGAATGCTAAGGGGATTCCTTCCTCCCCTGAGGGGTTGCCCAGCAGGACACCTCTCTGGAGGGGCCCATGGCACCTTGCTGGCCTGAGGACCGGCTGTGGTGGCTGCCCGCTTGCAGCCACTCTCCTGGTGCTCTCCCTGCAGGCGATGAGGAATCTGAGGATTATCAGAACTCGGCTTCCATCCAGCAGTGGCGAGAATCTAAGAGGGCCGTGGGTATGTGGCCAGAGAGCAGGGGCTCCTGAGCGGTCAGCTTCAGCAGGCTCAGAGGGTCCTGGCCTGGGCAGATGGGGGGCAGGGAGTTGGGGGGTCTGGCCTGGGAGGGCCAGGCCAGGGTGGGCTCCCCTGCAGCCAGGCCAGCTGACTCCACAGTGAAGCCTGCAGCACATCGGCAGCTGCTCTGGCCTTTAGCTGTGCCAGGACACCCCTCAGCAGCCTTGGCCTCCTGAGGTCGGGTCCTGCTGGGTAGGCTGTACACCCAGCTGTGTGGATGGAGTCGCACTTGCTCTGCTCCTGGGCGGGACAAATCTCTGGCAAGTCCCAGCCAGGACAGACACACCATCCAGTGCAGACTTTCCATCAGGCTGTTTTGTGGCATCAGGAAGTTTGAGCCCAGGGTGGGCGCTCTGGCTGGAGGAGCAGGGCTGGGTGTGTCCATGTAAACCACCTGACTGTCTGCCTGCTGGTCCACAGAGCCAGTCCAGAGAGAAGCACCTTCCTCCCCTGCAAGAAGCCCAGATGAGGACGACGACGGGGAGCCTGATTACGTGAACGGGGACGTGCCGGCTACAGAATGCTAGGGCAGACCTGGGAGAAGGTACAGCTGCCTCGGTGCCGGGTGGTAGCCTCACTCATCCGAGGGACCCCATTCCAAGGGAGAAGATGAGAGCTTGGGCTGGAGGAGCCATGCGAGGGGGCCAAGGGGCAGCACCCATGGGTGCTGAAACGGGGTGGCTCCACAGGGTGCTGGGCCCTTCAAGCAATCCCTGCCACCCTGCCCCAACTCCCACAGTAGTCTTGGTGAAGTGACAGATTCACAGCAGGCACAAGTCTCAGACTGTGGGGGTGTCAGGAAGGAAAGGCTGGTGAGTCTTGGGGTGAAGGGGTGCACTCTGAGTGGGTCTCTGCAACCTTGGGGGAGTGACTTAACCTCCCGGGACCTATTTTCTCACTGGCAAAATGGAGCTACTGGGACCTATGGCTTAGACAAGACGCTGCACATAAAGCATGAGTCCAGCAGGACTTGTCTAGTGTTGGACTCAGGGACAGGGGCAGGATTGGGAAAGGATGGTGCTGATGACAATAGTGGCTTAACCATTAAGCAGCCACTGTGCCAGCTAATGTGGTGCCAAGGGCTCACACACACCATCTCTTGTCACCCAAAGGCACAGAGCGCTAAGCCATCAGCCCAAAGTCACACTTAGAGTGGAGGAGAGGACAGGCTCTGCCACTGTGTGGGCAGCAAGATGGATCCCAGGGCGCTTGAAGACTATCCAAAGTCCCAATCTGGGGGACACGGGGAGACCCCTGAGCGGGTGGCGAGCCTGGGCAGGTCAGGAGCCAACCATAGAAGTTTGAGCCCAAGGTGCAGAGGCCCCACCGTTCATTCGTTCACCCAGTATTTACTGGCACCTGCCAGGGGCAAGTCCTACCTCCAGTGCTGGGGACTCAGTAATAAACACAATATACAAAATGCCTAACATTCTGGTGGGAGAGATATAACATATACCCCTTAGGAGACAGAACAGAGGAAATTACAGCACGTTAGGCGGTGATAAGTCCTGTGGAGACAGACCGGGGGGGGGGGGCAGGAAGAGGCTGGAAGTAATGTGGGCTGCAGGAGGTGGTGGTGTAAGGAGAGGGGCCGGGGAAAGCTTTGGGAGTCCCCTCCCCACCCCTGTGGGGGAAGGACACCCAGGCAAATGGACCCACAAAGGCGTGCCCAGAGGCTCTGACAACGGGGTGGGAGGTGATCGGGGACTGGTAGAGATGGAGAGAGGAGGTGTAGGCCAAATATGCAGGGCCAGCATGGGATGGAGGGTTTCTGAGATTAGGAGCGGGGCTGGACATGGGAAGGTCTGAAACAAAGGGTGACTTGATGTTTCTGAAGGAGCACTGGCTACTGAGTAGAGAAATGAATATGGTTGGTTGTCCTTATCTGTGGGTTGGATTCAACCAACCTCGGATCAAAAATGTTTGGAAAAAAATCTCAGAAAGTTCCAAAAAGCAAGACTTGAATTTGCCACATGCCAAGCACTACACTGAATCCACACATATGAAGTGACATGTAGGCGTATCCTGCTGTAGCTTCTATACAAATACATGTTATATGCAAATACTACACCTTTTTACATAAGGGACTTCAGCATCTGTGGGTTTTGGTATCTGTGTGGGGGTGGGTCGGGGGGGAGAAGGGGGGTCCTGGAACCCATCCCCTGAGAATGTCAAGGGACTGTTCAGGGGGACAGCAGTGGGAGCAAGGAGACCAGTAAGTTGAGTGTCTATGTAGGATGCCACCTTGGCTCAGGGAGACGGTGGGAGAGCTAGATACTGAGTTTTGCGGAGTCAGTAGGACTTTGATGCACTGGGTGTGAGTGCGAGGGAGAGGAGTTGAAGAGAACCGCGGGGTTTTGCCTGCGATGAGATCTGGAAGGCTACAGGCGGAGTAGGTTTTGTGGGCAAGGCCAGTTTATTTCTGGGCCTGTTAAATTGGAGGGGCCTGCGCAGGGCAGTCAGGGATCTACGCCTGGAGTCAGAGACAAGTCAGGCTGCAGCAAGACACTGAAGGCAGGTTGGAAGAACCCGGCTGGGCCTTGGCTAGATCCAAGGAGCAGTCAGGATGTCAAATGAGAAGTGGAAGGTCCTGGAAAAAACAACTAAAGCTACTCAATGGGCAGGCTGTCCCCTCAGCTCAGCTGCGGGAGGGCCCCCAAACGCCGCCATAGCTGTGGTCCCCTCCTTCCCGAGCCAGCCGCTCCTGTGCTGAGGGAACAAAGCGCAGCCAAAGCAAAACTTTTTTTAGCCACCCTTTTTGTCTTCATGGAACAGAGCCAAGGAATCCCACGCTCACTGGACAATTTACTGCCTCTCAACAGTCACTTCTCCAGAGCTGCTGGACATCTGGGGCCAGTCATGGTTTCTACTCGGAAGTGCACCATGTCCCAAGGACCATCCCTCGGGCCATGGGGGATCTGGCCTGGGAAAGGGGTTACACATGGAATCAGCTCCCCCCTGGGGCAGGACAAGAGCCTGGTGCCAAGGGCAGCTCAGCTCCTGCAGTGATTGGATGCCCAGCACTCAGGGCAAGTCACACCCCCATCCCCACATCTCAAACATCCCGCAACACTGGTGTTTGTGTCCTTTTTTCCCTTCGGATTTGGATCCCAAATTGCTTACTGTCAGTTGCTGGGATATTTTTTGTGATCGATAAACTTGTACAGTTAATTTATATAGGTGGAGCCATGTTTAATATTCTACATTCCAGGGTAGAGATTTTGTCTTTCTCCTACAAGCATTACATGTACTTAATTTCAGCAATTTAGGGGGAGCCCTGGTGCTCCTTTCTTTGGGTTTGTTCAGAGGAAGAGCTTCGGTTAGTCATCTTCATGCCCCTTCAGTGGGCATGTCTGCTGTGGACAGTGTCACCGTCCTGCAGAGGGGGAGGCAGGGCGGAGAGCGGAGCCCCTCCTCTGCTCCAGACTGGCCTTGGCTCAGCTATTAGGCAGCAGGACTATCTCAGGGGAAGGGCCGGGACCTTGACTCAGAAAAGCCAGCCAGAGTAACAAAATGCCTCCTCCAATCAAATCGTCTTAATAAAACTTTAAGAGCAGCAATTCTCGAGTCTTGGTGTAAAACCGTTTCATAGAAAGGGAGGGCTGGGGGACAGGACCTGGGTCCCCAAGTCCAGCCCTCTTTCCAGGATGTACACCATTAACTTTCCATGAGAAGTTAATGTCACAAGTGAGGAAATTAGAAGAAAAACAGAACACAACTGTTTGACCACTTGTCACTTCACACCCTGAAGTCCTGACCTCACAAGCTCAGAGGACAGCTTGGGTCTGAGCAGGTCTGAGGAAGCCCGACAAAAAATAAGATTGAGAAAGTACGTGTATTTTGTAAAACGTCACCTTGCAGTTTTTGAGGACCTTCATTATTCCCCCCCCCCTCTTAATTGATAACCAAACCCAAACAGCCAGTCATCTTGGAGCCTTTTTTGTGTCCCTGTAGTGTCGCTACCCAACAATGTGGTGTGGGCAAGTGACAGCCAGCCTGGGGTGACGGTCCTTCCTCTCGCCGCTTCCTCCTGCTCCGGCGGTTAAGGCTAGAGCAGCAGAGCCCGAGCGCCGAGTTGGGTGGGGAGAAAAGCACACAGGCTGCCCGCCCAGCTGCTCTGCACTATCAGCAGCGCAGGGGACAACGGCCATACCGCGCTGGCCCTTCGTCTGGGAGCCCACAGTGCAGAGCGAGCCAGCATGTCACAGAAGTAAGTTTTCAAAGCTTTTCACATGAGACCACTAATCACAGAAGCTGAGCCACTCCCACCCCTCCTTAGAAACACCATTCTAAAATGACGTCTGGGGTTTGCTTCAGGACAATCCCAGGGTGGGGGGAACACACTGGCCATGTGTTGGTAAACTGTTAGGATGGATAATGAATATGGGATGGTTTACTGTATAATTACAGCCCCCACCCCCCAAAAAAAGAAGAAGCAATTCTAAAAGTTAATATAAAATCACTGGGGAATTCTAAAGCAACACGTACTGCACAGAAAAGGCGGTGTGGTGGCAGTTTTCTGTGTGCCTGTATCGCACCATTTTCCGGTGATTCCTGTAAGTCATTTCTGAAGGGCTCACGGCCCTGGGCTGTTCTGAGAAGTCTTTCTAAATGGTCAGTAAATTACAACAAACCCTGCCCTCACCCCACGGAACTGTCTTCCCGACTTCTAGAAAAACGGAGCCTAACTTGTTCAGTCTATTATCTAAATCACCTTTTTTATTAGGAGGCAAGAAGCATGCACAGAGACAAAAAGCTGGCTCTCCTTGCGGCCTTTTGTTGCCACATTATGGCCAACAACATTGTAGTTTTATCAGCTAAAATGCCAACACACGCCCAGACTGGGTGCCCTGCCCCGAAGGTTCTCTGCCCCACGCCCCCACCCCCGTCACCACATCCCTAAGTCTGGAGCTGAGTGCAGACGCTCATGGGTCTGTGTGGAAGCACCGGGAAGCCCATGCACAGCGTGTTAGAGGAAGGCGCGTTCCAGGGCCATCGGGGCAGCATCTTCTCCCAGAGCAAAAGGCTGGGACTCCTCTTTCTGGGATTCTCGGAACCCAGTCCATGAGCTCGTCATCTAACTGGCCACTGGGGCCATTGTCTTCTGACACAGCCTGGCCAGGAGCCCTGCCATCTGCAGGAGGGAGTTCACACCTTCCGCTATTTTCATATGAGTATATCCAATTTCCTGAAACACAAACCAAAGGTATATCTGGTCAAGAAAAAAATTTTTATTTTTTAAAATCTGAAATAATGGTTTACTCAAAGTTGATGCAATGAACTCAAACTCCAACTGGAAAATGAACTCAAGATGTCACGGATTATGTTTAACTAAAGTTCACTTTATTTCCTAAAAGGAGGTTGAATTTCTTTGTAAAATACTGTTAAGAAAAAAAAGCCAGACTTGAAGAAAACATTAAAATATTTAAAAAACAAATACCTGATAAAGGACTTGCATCCAGAATATATAAGAAACTCTCCAAACTCAGTAGTAAGAAAACAACTCAATTAAAAACTGGTAGATTTGAACAGATGCTTCATTAAACAAGATTCTGGATGGCAAATAAGCACATGAAAAAGTGCTTGACCTCATTAGTTCCTGGGAAATGCAAATTAAAGCCACAAGCTACCTCTACTTGACCATTAGAATGGCTTTAAAACACCACCCGAGCATTCCGAGTGCTGGCTGGTGTGGATCAGCTGAAGCCCTCACACACAGCTGGAAGCACGCACAACACTACGGCCATATTGGGAAACACTTTGGGTTTCTTACAAACTTACATTGATCTTATAACCCAGCAATCTCACCTCCTGGGAATTTACCCGAGAGAAATGAAAGCTTAGGTTCACATTCACACTCATTCATGTACACAAACGTTTATAGTTATAGTGGTTTTATTCATAGTCACCGAAACCCAAAAGTCCTTCAACTGTGAACACACACTCTGCTACGTCCATACAATGGAACACCACTCAGCAATAAAAAGGAACGCCCCACTGACACGCACAACAAAATGCTTAAGCTAAGTGAAAAAAGCCAGACTCAAAGGCTACACTTCTGCTTGATTCCATTTATGTGACGTTCTGGACAATTCTGTGCCCCAAACAGAAAGTAGATCAGTGGTTTCCAGGTGCTAGAGGGAGGAGTGGACTACAAATGGGCACATGAATTTGGGGGGAATTAGCAAGTCGGGTGTACACGACTGAGTCATTTTATCAGCAGAATACACCTAAGAGGCTAAATTTACTGTGTAAATTATATCTTAATTAACCTGACTTTAAAGATGAATAAACCAACCAATCCCTAATGAGTCATCCTAAGGAACAGCAGGTCACACTGACTGGCAGAACTGGTTTAAACAAACCCTTAGCCCCCAGGACAGGTAGCCAGCCTCACTGAGTGTCCTCCCGGTGCCAGGCCTGTGAGTAAAACAAAGAAAACCATAGTGTGGTCCACATTCTTGGGGGGAGAGGCATTGCTATACTCTCACTGACCTTAATAAACTCCAGTTTCAAATATTCTGCCATTTGGAAGGTTTTACACACTCGAAAAATGTTGCCAATGATGTCTTCCGGTGAATAGCCGAGATGCCACAGGTGAGCGAGAATCTAGACAAGAGAAGGTACGCTAAGGCTGAACTCTGTAAATGACAAGGATACTGGGGGGACGTGAGATTACAGTCACACCAGTCTCGGGCCTGTCACACTGCTGGAAGAGGACAGATTACCCCAGAAAAGCCAAGTGATTCTGAGAATCAGCTGAATACCACGGAGGAGCTGGTGGGCCATGGCCTTTAGATCATGTGGGGTAATTTAATTGATTTTTCCCAGCAGGCAGAGAGAAAATATTGCAAATGTCTTAAAATGCATTGCAAGGTCTACTCCTATAGCCACGTGATGTCTTTGTCCAAGGCTCTTAAACCTTATTAACCATCCCAGCATGCCCCAGAGCAGAAGCAGAACCCGTCTGCTGTGCTTTCCCTAGCTGCCAGTCCTAACCACTCCTGCAGGAGCGGCCCTGGACAAGACTACAGCAGTTGGCAGGGCCTCCTGCCGTCTCATACCCCACCCCACCCCACCCCATCTAGACTGCAGGGTCTGAAGTCAGTTGGTTTTGCCTTCACTCTGGCATCTCGAGCGAATTCAGGGGGCAGGGAAGCTCCGTGTGCATAAACCTGAAGGCTCCTTCAGGCCCACTCGGTGACCCCGTCTGTGTGCCTGGGGCTCTGCCTCAGTCTCCCTGCCTTGCACTCCAGTTTCACATTAGGTCTAGTCCTGCGCTAAGCTGTCAGCTTCTAGCCTAATTTGGTGGAAGGAGTGGGAGGGAAACCTGCTGTGATGAGACCAACGGCCTTAAATCATATCACTGCCACTCATGGGACTGGAGGGTGGCATGAACCCCAATGCCCACTGGAACCTGCTCACAGGACCAGGCTCTATTATCAGGCTGGAAACCCCTGCCCATGCCCTCCTGGCCGACCTGCGACTGCTGGGTCCTAAGATGCCCACTCCCATGCTCCTCGGGAGGACAGAAGAGAAATCTCCCCTCAACAAAGAGAAAGATGGCTTCATCGCAAAGTAAGAAGTGGGGCTGGTCTCTCCTCATGTCTTAGGTGGACAAATTCGGAGCACAGAATAGAACTGAATTATAGTAAAAAGACATGATTTTGAATTCCAGTTCTACTACTTTTACACAGTGTGATTTAGAGAAAGGAATTTAGCCTCTCTTAGTCGTAGTTTTCTCATCTGTAGAGTACCAATTTGAAGAATTAAGGGGAGTGATGCGCGTAAGCCCCTAGCACAGGGAGCTCCCACGGCCCTGCCTGGAAGCTAGAAGCGGAAGGTCCCGGGGACAGGGGGCGGGCGGCACCTTGTAGGCTTCGTCGATATTGGCCTTCACACAGTGCTGGATCATCTCCTTCACCAGCAGGGGGTGGGGCTCATCGCAGACCTGGCCAAACCGAAAAGAAGGCGTCAGGGGCTGAGGGGACCATCTGAAGAGGAGCCCTGGCACAGCAACCTCTAGACCCGCAGTTCTCAACCTTCCTAATGCCGCGACCCCTTCATACAGTTCCTCATGTTGTGGTGACCCCCAACCATAAAATTATTTTTGTTGCTACTCTATAACTGTAATTTTGCTACTGTTATGAATCGTAATGTAAATATCTTTTTGTTTTCCCATGGTCTTAGGCGACCCCTGTGAAAGGGTCGTTCGACCCCCAAAGGGGTCGCGACCCACAGGTTGAGAACCGCTGTATCTAAACCATCTACATAACCAGCCTCTCAGCTGTCTTTTTTCATTGAACCAGGCTGGGGAAAGCCCCTCTCACAACCAAACAGGAAGCGTACGATGTCAACTTGGACCTCCTGCAGTGAGGAAGGTTTCTGACACTAGGTTTCTCACATACAAGGTGAATTAACAAGAGCCAATGAAGACTCTGCCCAGCGGCAGCTTTAAAGCCATTAGTCACATCTTAGATCACTTGGATGACCACTTGCCCAGAACCACTTAGAAGCCACTTAAGACTTGAGAGGTCTTTGGGGCTAGTCTCCCACCAGAATCGGAATTGGCTTTCCCCAAACAGGGTCCCCGGCCTCAGCATGACCTGAAGAGCAGCCTGCTGGGTGGGGATGCAACTCTCTGAGCCCACAGGCTGCCTCCTGCAACCCCCGACTGGCCTGAGAGCCCACCCTCTAAAGCAGTATCACCATTTACTCTAAATGAAAATCTTTGGATGTCTGAAGATAGCACCTAAGCCTGCCCTTGGCCTTCTCCTCCCAGCTCAATTAACTTGCCTCAGAAGCCCTGGTTTCCAGGCACTCAAGGCTGTGCTCCAGGATGAGATGAAACCTTAACTGTCACTAGGCGACTAAGGAAGTTCCCCTCAGTGATCCTGAAAATACATCACTGCCAAGGTCTAAGCAGAGGTTTTAAGCACAGCTTTCTTTACCCATAAGCTTGGTAAGAAAGAGCTCCAGACTGAATGGATGGACAACCGTGACCAATTTTTATCCCCAAATAAGGGGGCAATCAGATACTGAGTTGTCAGGAGTGGGCAACCAGTTTTAAAAAGTATTCCCCAAGCAGAAATCTGCCAATGTGGGAGTGTGAGAATCTTTTTCCTCAGCTTGGCTTTGAAAAGATTTGCTCCCCCTCCAGGTGCAGGTGTGGTGAGCCAGAGCCTGCGAGCACAAAGCAGGGGAGAGTGCTGTGCTCTCCTGAGCTCCTGCCTGAGCCTGTATCCTCCACACAAAATGCTGATAAGAACACCTGTGTGCAGGGGCGTTGAGAGGATCAGGGGACGCAGCGAACGCAGCCAGCACCAGGCCTGAGGCAGCAATGCGGTGCTTCCATTTACCACACTGTGGCATCCCAAAGTCCTGCCCAACCCTCCAGTGTGGGGGACAAAAGTGGGCAAGTGGGAGCAGGGCAACCCCCCCCATTCAGTGAGGGCGAGCCCCAGCAGTGGCGGCAGCCTGTCCGTCCCCTTCTGTCCAGCACTGCCACCTCCATGCCCTGACCCCACAGATAAATGCTGCTTTTGTAGGCTGTGATGCCCAAGCTAGCTTTGGTACCTTGAACACATTCTCACTGTTAATAAAGCCGAATCCTGAGAAAGTGGACTGCAAGTTGTTCAGTGCCTGTCAAGGAACAAAAAACACATCCAGGGTGATTAACATTCTCAGCCCTTCCCCATGTCTTAGCTGAGCACCCTCCCTACAGGCAGGGAGTACAAGGCCCTAGCAGTGTGTTGGGCCAGCGCTCCCGTCTGGCTATGCTCGCTCTGCAGCAGTCACTCCCCTCTCCCCCTAAAAGGGTCCGCGCCTGAACGGTCGCTGCACCCACCTGCCTCATGTCTCCCTGGGCGGTGAAGATAATGGCTTCCAGACCATCGTCGGTGTGCTGCACCTTCTCCTTCTCGATCACATTCATTAACCTTGCAAGGATCTGGGCATCAGTCAGCTTGGTGTAGCGGAGGACGGCGCACCTTGACTGAATGGGCTCTGACGGAGATAGGGAGAGAGTGAGGCCCCCAGCCGAGGACGGTGCCGCCCTGCTGGTTTAGTTACTCGGGAGCAGCCTCACAATCCAGGGCCCAGTCACACTGGGACCTCTCTACCCAGCAAGTGCTCACGAGTGCCTGGGTAATCAGGGCTAAATTTCAAAGTATCAACCAATAAGCAAAAAGAGAGGCCACAGCCAGCACTGCCCAGGACGACCTTGGCTGGCCACAGCTTCCAGAAGGGTAAAGATCCTCCAGGATAGAGACACACGTGTCACAGCCCGTAGGTGAGCCAGTGCCGGCCCAGGTGGACTCCAGATCTGTGTCTCCTAAATGTCAGGGCCCTTCTGGGCATGTCACCATCCAGTCAGTCTGGGGAGAGCACACAGCATCTGCGTGGTTTATTTCAAGCTGCACAGGAAAGTCTGACTACAGCCGGTGCTGACAGCCATTAGCTAGACGAATGCAGGACTCTGGAAGCTGCCCTTAACCTTCGGTGCAGACTATGATAGCTTCTCCATGATCTCCAAGCCCCAATTTCATCTCTCTCTCTGTTTCACCCGCCATCTGGTACCACACTGGCCTTTCTCAAAACGTTTTGATGTTGCCTATTCCTGCCAAGGCAAACCTTTCAATAGCCCTAACATTACAGTACAGCTCACCTCTGACCCTTGTACGTTAAATCTTCTGCAAACCTCATGTTTCTACTCTAACCCCACGACTGGTACCTTGTCTATCCTGGAACAAACCGACCTGGGATCTCCTGGAGGGCTTGTCCCACCTAGGATGTCCTTCCCCGTAAGTTTCTTCCCATTTAAACCACAACCATCATGGAAAGCTCCTCTCAAACCCCTCCTCACGGAGCCAGTCCAGGTCTTCCCACACTGCTGCCACCACCCCTCCTGTGTTCACACACACTTTCAAGGAACACGCTCCTGTTAGCTGATTTGCATTAAAGAAACCAGTTACCTGGCCAGCTGTTGGGGATGCAGAGGATGAATATGATGACGAGGTCCTGGCTCTTCAGAGCTTAAGTTTATCAGGACAAAGGGAGGCATACACAGGCAAGTTAGAACACAACGGGACAGGCCATGGCAGAGGTTTCTAGGAATAGCTCTGGGAGTCCAGGCCAGGGAGCGATCAACTCAGCCTGGTGAAGGGGAGCTTCTTGGTGGAGGGGAGATCTGAGCTGGGTCTTTAGGGGTTAGGCTGGAAAAGCAGAGGGAACAGCATCTTCAGAGGCAAGAGTGCTGAAGGGGCCTATGGGACTCAGGGAACCGTAAGATGCTAAGGTCGCAGTGCATGGAGTAAAAGATGAGGCTGCAGGCACTGGGATCCTGTGTGCTAGCCTGGGGGGCGGGAGGGAAGGTATGGCTATGTGGGCAACGGGAGACCACTAGAGGGTTAAGCTGGGTAGTGGCAGGGTCAGGCTTGTGCTGAGAAAACCCTGGCAACCCACTGGTGACTCGGGTGCAAGAATTTACCAGTGACAGGAAGAAACAGTGTAATAAAGAGGGGTGGGAGTTCAAGACATGAGAGATGGGACGAACATGAATTGGATTTTGGTGAGAGGTTGGCTGTGGTGATGAGCAGACAAAAGAGAAATTGGCATGACTCAGAGCTTGCTGGTTCGGGAGGCCCTCTCCTATCTGTGCGTGACCTCCTGGAGGTCAGGGACCCCTCTCCTATCCGTGCGTGACTTCCTGGAGGGCAGGGACCCCTCTCCTATCCATGCGTGACTTCCTGGAGGGCAGGGACCCCTCTCCTATCCGTGCGTGACCTCCTGGAGGGCAAGGACAGAGCCTCATGGAGATCTGTAGCCTCCTCTGTGCCTTGTGCAGAGTAGATGCTGCGTATGTAGAACGTGCTCAGTATCTGTTGAGTGGATGAGACTTTTCAGCAGCTTTCCTAAATTAGTCCATCTCAGCTTATCTGAAATTAGGAAGCCTCACAACTGAACCCTATTTACATATTTGGTTTATCAGCACAGACAAGAGAAAGAATGATTCGAAACTGGAGTTCATACATAAAAGCAGTTGATATTCCAACTACACTAGAAGTTTCCTTCAGTTGATTTTTATCTTTTAATGAGTACTAAAAGCTAAAGTCACAGCATTTAAGTACATGTCAGAAGAAGGCGTCCATGGCCTTCCTCAAAGAAAGTACGCTTCTCTTTTAACTGTATGACTCTCTAGGAACTTAAGTGAGGTTCAGTTACTGAGTTTATGAATCACTTTTGCGGCAATCTGATCACGAACCATTTCCTCTAAAGTTAAGAAATAATTTTCTTTAAAGATTTTATTTTTGTTTGCTACTATCACTTTAGAAATTAAAAATAATCCGAATGCTGTATCAGAAAAATTAATTTCATGCAGAGGGAGGGCCAGACCTTTCTCCACCAACTGTGCAGTTTCAAACCACTGAACAATTCCTTAATGCACAGCCCTATGCAAAATGCACTGGGGGGGGGGGTCTCTAAGTATAACACTGCTCCTACCCTCACAGACTTATCTTACCACTGGCTAAGGAGACAAGCTACACACACACACATCAAGCAAGAACTTTTAGCACAGTTTCCTCCACCACCATTGGTGCCTCGAAGGTAGAGCTGTTTCTCATCAAATTCTGTCTGTTCCACACTAGCAGTGCCTGACACCTACTGCAAAGAGAGTAAATGCTTGTTGAATGGAATGGCTGAATAAATGAATGAACACATACTATCTGGGGAAGGACAATGAACATAAAGGATTCCTGGTACCAGAGAGCCCACCAGCTTTGCGGGAGCATCACGGTTGGTAACCTGTTTGTCTGAGGCAGCGCACAACGGCCCAGGTGGAGATGGCGGAGTCGGATGGCTGAACGCACACAGGCTGGGGTTTAGCAGGGCAGGTGTAAGGCAAGGACTCAGGACAAGAGAGCTGTGAGGAACGGTGAGAGAAAGCTAGACTGTGTCCACAGTCTGTATCAGAAAGGGAAGGATGTGAAAGCAGCAAGAAGTTGAGACACTGAGAGGGGAGGGCTCAAAGAAGTGGGGAAACAGGTAGCTTGCTGGGAGGGAGGGAGGGAGCTGGAAGGACAAATGCCAGGTCAGCGAGAAGACTAACATGAAAGGCTTTACAGGTGAGGCAATTCCTGGTAATAACCAAGCCCGGTGTGCAGACATGGTGCCTGCCAAGTGCTTAGACACACACGAAGTGCAGGAACACATTTGGAGAGGGGTGGTGACTAGGACACTGTGCACAGGATATCAAAACGTCACATATGCCTATGATGGCGCAAGTCAGACAGACCTGGGGTTCCAATCCCAGCTCTTCCACTTGCTGTGTGACTTTGGGCAAACTACCCAACCTCTCTGAGCTCATTTTCTCATCTCTAATGTGAAGCTAATAATACCTCCACAAAGAATTATATAAGATTAAACGAAAAAGTTGATTATATAGTGCTCGGCCCACGATAGGCAATCAAAAAGTTCCTACTCCCCCGCTGCTAAAGAGCCAATGTGAGCACCATGTGGACCCCAAGCCACCAAGAGCTGACCCTCACCTATGATTTTATCTGAAGCATTGCAAGCAAGCGCAAAGCGTGTCGTTTTGGAGTAGATTTCCATGGTTCTCCTCAAGGCTTGCTGGGCTCCATCAGTCATGCTGAGAAGACAAACGAAAGAGCAGTTTGTAACTGGGACCCAGGGCCCAGTGGACACACATCCCTCCCTACAGAGCCTGGCACACCTGACCTCCTGACCGAGCATGCTCAACCTCTCTCCAAGACCCCGTCTGGATCTCACACGGGCACAGCGGAGGCCCTGTAGTCGGGCTGCCTGGGCTCACCGCGCAGCAACTTCCTCTGCTAGTTATGGGACCACAGGCCAATGATCTGAGCCTCAATGTCATCCATCCCCTATAAGGAGCTAATGATACCGCCTAATTCAGAGGGTTGTGATGACAATTAAATGAACTAACAGGTTAAATGTTTAGCAAAGTGCCTGGCAGAATGTAAATGCTTACATATAAGTGCTCAATAAATGTTAGCTATTATTGCTATAAATAATGTTACAACAAAATGGTTAAGGTGCACTGATGCTATGGAATGTGGCAATTCCAAACTATTTTCAAACAAAATTATAATGTGGAACACTGCTTTTTATATTAAAAGAAAAAACCAGGGTACAAAAAGTTTATATATTATGATCTCAACGGTGTAAAAAAATGCATGGTATAGAAAAAGAAATAAAGCAAGACATTAACAATATTTTCTAGGGCCAGCCGAGTGGTGCGTTGGTTAACAGCTGGCTTGGGACGCCAGCTCTGAGCAGCAGGGCCCTGGTTTGGATCCCACATGAGAGCCAGTGACACTGCGCCCTCTACAGCTAAGATGGTGAGCAGCAGCTCGACCTGGAGCTGGACTGCCGTGGGTTGCCGGTGACGGCGTAGGCTGCAGCCCCTGCTGCAGTGGGCTGCCATAGCTACCGTGTGGCCAGCAGCCAGCGTTAAGTGACTGGCAGCTTGTGTGAGTTGCCAAGAGCCGCTGTGAGCGGCCGTCCAGAGGCCGGCAACCGATCTGCCTCATCCGGGAAGAGCGCAATGATAATACCAACATGGGCCAGTGAAGCAAAGTCCTCCACAACTAGACTGAAGAACAAAATGACAGCAACTTGTCTGTTCCCCTTCCGCGATTCCCCAGTGCTGTTCCCCTCCCCCAATTCCCCAATAAAATCTTTTAAAAAAAAACCAAAACAAGCAAGCAAAAAACCAATATTTTCTGAAGTTTCTTCAAAGAATATTACTGTTTGTTTAATGTCATTTAAAACTTTGTTTATATGGTATGGTTGTACAACATTGTGAATGGCACTAAATGCCACTGAATTGTACACTTTAAAATGGTCAAAAATGGTACATTTTATGTTATGCATATTTCACCACAATAAAAAAATATGTATCATTGAAACTACTCACGTGAGTGATGCTGGGACAAATACATTGACTGAGTGTCTCAGACAAATGTTTGTAAGTTAATTAAGGTAGTTTTAAGGACCAGGGCCCTATTTAGTTGCTTCTGAAGATGTGAGAAGCAAAGGCGGGAGCTTTTTCTCCTGGTTTAATAAAGCCCAGTAAGAGATTTAGAGATCAAGGTCAACACGTATCGGCAAAGCATTCTACCTGTCTGCTTCATCCAGGATGATGATCTTGTGTCGCCCTCTGGGAAGGGTGACTTTCTGTTGGGCAAACATTTTGATTTTGTTCCTCACAACATCAATGCCCCTGAAACAATGAGCCAGAATTTAACATCATCTTCTGGGACAAATTCAGTTACCTTCATGGGAACTTCTCAACCTCAATATACCATCATGGACCCAATTTTAGTTTTTAACTTTCCGTTTTTTCAAGAAAAAAGATTTTATGAGGAATTTTTTCTTTTTTCTTTTTTTTTTAAAGATTTTTATTGGGGAATTGGGGGGAGGGGAACAGACAAGTTGCTGTCTTTTCTTCAGTCTAGTTGTGGAGGACATTGCTTCACTGGCCCAAGTTGGCACCATCATTGTGCTCTTCCCAGGCGAGGCAGATCAGTCACTGGCTTCCGGATGGCAGCTCACGCTGGCTGCTGGCTACACACAGTAGCCCATGGCAACCCACTGCAGCAGGGGCTGCAGCCTACGCCGTTGCTGGCGACTCTAGGCAACTCAGCTCCAGGTTGAGCTGTTGTTCAGCATCTTAGCTGTAGAGGGCAGTGTCACTGGCCCTCATATGTGGGATCTGAACTGGGGCCCTCTGGCGTCCCAAGCCAGTTAACCAACGCGCCACTCGGCCGGCCCTGTATGAATTTTCTTAAACTTAAGCAAGGAGTGTGTCTCTTCAGCAGCACATACACTAAAACAGAACAACACAGAGAAGACTAGCATGGTCCCTGAGCAAGACTGACACATAAATTTGTAAAACATTCCGTATTTTTAAAATTAGCGTCACGGGCCAGCCGAGTGGCGTGTTGGTAAGAGCTGGCTTGGGACGCCAGCTCTGAGCAGCAGAGCTCCAGTTCGGAACCCACATTAGGGCCAGTGATGCTGTGCCCTCTACAGCTAAGATGGTGAACAACAGCTCGACCTGGAGCTGGGCTGACGTGAGTCGCTGGCGATGGCGTAGGCTGCAGTGGGCTGCCATAAGCTACCGTGTGTGGCCGGCAGCTGGTGTGAGTGGCTGGCAGCCGGCGTGAGCAGCCATCCAGTGGCCGGCGATAGATCTGCCTCACTCGGGAAGAGCGCAATGATGATACCACCATGGGCCAGTGAAGCAACGTCCTCCACAACTAGACTGAAGAAGAAAACAACAGCAACTTGTCTGTTCCCTTCCCCCAATTCTCCAATTAAAAAAAATAATAATAATTAGCAAATCACAGGGATGTAATGTACAGCATAAGGAATATAGTCAATAATATTAAATAACCTTGTGTTAGATAGGTACTAGACTTACTCATATCATGCTGATTACTTAATTAGGAATATAAATGTTGAATAACTACATTGTATACCTGAAACTAATATAGTATATATTAACTATATTTTAATAAAAAATAAATTTTAGGGCCGGCCGAGTGGCACCTTGGTTAAGAGCTGGTTTGGGACGCCAGCTCTAAGCAGCAGGGCCGCCGGTTCGGATCCCACATGAGGGCCAGTGACACTGTGCCCTCTACAGCTAAGATGGTGAGCAACAGCTCAACCTGGAGCTGGGCTGCTGTGAGTCGCCAGTGACGGCGTAGGCTGCAATGGGGCTGCAGTGGGCTGCCATAAAGCTATTGTGAGCGGCCGGCAGCTGGCGTGAGCTTTTGTGAGCTGCCGTGAGAGGCCGTCCAATGGCTGGTGAACTACTACCTCACCCGGGAAGAGCACAATGATAATACCAACATGGGCCAGTGAAGCGATGTCCTCCACAACTAGACTGAAGAACAAAAGGACAGTAACTTGTCTGTTCTCCTTCCCCGATTCCCCAATAAAATCTTAAAAATAAATAAGTACATTTAAAAAAAAGAATCAAGGAGTGAACAACCTATTTTTAAGGACAATAACTAAATATACTTTCATCCATTTAATCACTCAGCAAGAAGGACTTCATTCTGGTTTTCTAAAAGAACATGTGACAGTATTCTTTCATCTTTTATCATATCTATACACCAATATTTACAGGATACAGTTTGTAGGTGATCAAAAGCTGTAGGCAGGTGTGTATACAAAGGTGACTGGAAGGAAACATGATATGGAAATGGAAAAAAGTCATTGTATTGATCATTCAAGTAGTTGTTTATAAATCTAAAATTGAAAATACTTTGCAATCACGAGCCATTCCCTCTTCAACAAAATTATGAACCACAGAAGTTTTCAAAAACAGTGAGTTTGATATTGCAAGTGTGAGAAGAGCAAAAGGTAATGATAAGCTAGAACCTAACTGTATCTGCATTGACAAAATGGATTGATTACAGGCTCATTCATGACAGCTGATGAGCAGTTAGTTGCCTTCCAAGGACATTGCCTGTTTCAAGTATACACAATTTTCAAAACCAGGATAATTAGTGCTGAGAACCACAGCTTCAAGGAATAACCAAAGGCAGACTTAGCAGACATTTAACAGGTCCTCATTTCATAACCCTCTACGATTTCATGTCTAAAAAGTAAACCAGCACCTCACACCCATTAGGATACCTACTAGTAACACCAACAAAACAGAAAATAACAAGTGTCAGTGAAGATACGGAGGAACTGGAACCCTTGAGCACTGTTGGTGGGAATGCAAAATGGTGTGGCCGCTATAGAAAAGTATGGAAGTTCCCCCCAAATTAAACAAAATTACCAAATAATCCAGTAATTTTATTTCTAAATATATACCCCCAAAAACTGAGAACAGGGTCTTGGAAAGATATTTGTATACCTATGTTCACAGGAGCATTATTCACAACTCACAATATCCAAAAGATGAAATTAACCCAAGTATCCATCAATGGATGAATGGATAAGCAAAATGTGGTCTCACACACACACACACACACACACACACACACACACACACACACACACAGTAGAATATTATTCAGCCTTAAAAAGGAATGGAATTCTGACACATGCTAAAACATGGATAAAACTTGAGGACATTATGCTAAATAAAATAAGCGAGCCACAAAAAAGACAATTGCTATATGCAGCCACTTATATGAGGCACCTACATGTCAACTTCAAAGAAACAGAAAGTAGAATGGTGGCTGCCAGGGAGTGGTGAAACGGGGAATGGGGTGTTGTTTAATGGATATAGTTTCACTTTTGCAAGATGAAATAGATCTGGAGATCAGCTGCACAACAATGTGAATATACTTAACACTACTGAACTGTACATTTAAAAATGAGTAAGATGGTAAATTTTAAGTTATATGTATTTTACCAAAACTAAAAATATTTTAAATTTCCATTAAAAAAAAGTAAAGCAGCAAGTCAAGTGCCTGTGACGGAATCTCATGAGCAAGCACTTCCCATTCTCTTTCACTGGGAAGGGCTAAAGGAAAACACACAGCTGGCCAGGCAAGCTCCACGTATAACACAGAACGAAAAAAAGGCTGTTTCTATAACAATTCAGAATGTAAAACACTCAGTGCCCTGCAGTCCTAACTCCAGATGTACCTGTCATTTGAGGCATTGAGTTCCAAAACGGCGTCCTTGAGAGCTGGGCCCAGAAGGGCTCGTGCCAAACACAGAATGCTTGTGGTTTTGCCAGTTCCCGGGGGCCCCTAGGAATGAGAGCTCCATAAGTGCTTCAAGCCAACAGAATGAACTTAATGTAGCTCCGAATTTACTGTTCACCACTGTTCCCTTGAACCCTCAACCCCAACACACAGCACACAGTAAATCAATATAGCAACCAATCCACAGGCCTCCTGACCAACTTGGGTGAAATGTTTCCCTTTGCCGAGGGGAACGTAAGGGCTCTGGTGGTGATGGGCCTCCCTGAAGAGGAAGCTCTGTGCATAAGAAAGCTCTTCAGAGGGAAGCGAAAATAAGACTCCAAGACGTCCACCAGGGCCAGGACCAAGTACTTACCGCGATGATAATATTAGGTACATTCCCTTCTCTTGCAAAGACCTGAAGGAAGAAATGTTCATTAAAGCTGGTTAACCTGTAAACCTGAAGAGCCAAGCCTCCCCAGCCACATAGACCCTCCCGTGTATTAAACATGGCTGTACATTTCTCCATATGGATGCCCCATGGAACTCTCACCTCAGCATATTCAGAGTTGAATTCATCGTTTTTCCCTACAAACCTGAGGCTCCACCCACATTTACCCTTCCATGGACTGTTAATGCCATCAACCCTACCGCCCCCACCAGGAACCTGGAGATCACTGTTACCCCTGATTGGATCGTCTCCCTCACCCCGCACAGCACCTCGATTACCAAGGCTTGGTCATTCTTTCTCCGGTATCTCAAGTCCATTTACTTCTCTTCAGCCCCACTTCCACTTTCTTAGCGCAGTATCTCTTGCCTGGATCACTTTCAGTGGGTCATCAACTGGTCTCCTTGCCTCAAATCTCGCCCTACCCCAATCCATTTCCCATACTGTTACCATACCAATTTTCTAAAACACTCACCTAATGAAAACGTTTTTTCCAGACTGAAAGCCGTGGATGACTCCTCACTGTCCTCATTCTGAAGCCCAAACTCTTAAACATGGCTGGAGGCCCTGTGCAGTCTGGATCTTGCTCGCCTCACGAGCCCACTTCTCCCGCCCCCCAGTACATGCACTCGGCACTCAGTGGGCTCACGGACCAGCAGCATCAGCAACCCTTGGGAGCTTGTTAGAAATGCACAATCTGGCCTCACTCCAGAACTACTGGGCCAAAATCTGCATTTCAACAAGATCCCCAGGCAATTCATGTACATATTAATGTCCGGAAAGCACTGCTCTGTATTCCAATCAGATGGCATTTTCCTCCCCAAGAACAAGCCAGGCTCTCTCACTTCAGGGCCTCTGCACATGCTATGCCTGCTGCCTGCCCCCCAAGCCTGACTAACTCCCACTCATTTAACTTGGTATCACTTCTTCCACTTAGGAATGAAGACAGTGTGGGCAGGCTAACTCCACTGGGCACCCCTCCCATGTGCCCCCACAGGACCCTGTGCTCCTCTAGCAGAAAGCTTATCACATTGCCTGCTGACCTAAACGCTGCCCCCATTAGACTAAAAACGCCACACAGGTAGAGGGGATCAAATCTATTCTGTTCACCAATATAACAACAGGTCCTAACCCCACACCGTATCTGGCCCAGAGAAGATACTCGAATATTTGTGAAATTAATGTGTAAAATAAATAACTTTTCAGCTATTAAAGTCTAAGTCCCCATTACTACAGAGACTACCTGTCATGTATCAGATAGCTGAACTACTAGATTCTGCCTAAAGACCTCTAGGGCTAGGAATTCAAAGCTTGTCCCGCTGCTGAACATCTGTGCCTGCGCCTGTTCTGAAGCTGGCTGCCTTGTCACTTAATCCCTCCAGGCAGGGGCTGGCAAACTATGGTGGAAGGGGTGTGGGGAAAGTGGGGGGGTAATCCAACCTGAGGCCAGCCCCCTAGGCAAGAATGGTTTTCACATTTTTAAAGGATTGTTTAAAAAAATAAAGAATATTTGATCAGGACCTTACATGGTTTGCGAAAAGCCTAAAGTATCTATTAATCGGCCTTTACAGAGTTTGCAAACCCTGCTCTTGAAGATTACAAAACAAGTCTGATAGCCCATCTCCAATAAGCCAGCCTTTCAAACACCTGAAGTCCCACTACTTCTAGTTGTCTCCAAATTCAATGCCTCCCACTCCCTCAATTCTGGATCTGTGGCTCACTGCCGCCCCCCCACCCCCCATATTGGCTGTCCTTCTCCAAGTGCCTCGGCTTATCAAAGCCACAATAACCGACGTAAGTTCACCTATATAAAAAAAAAATCACTCACCTCTAGCCTACTTACGGTGTCTTCATTCCCGACAATTTCATTCAATTTTACTGGTCTATATTTTTCAACCCTGTTTTTAAGAAAACACATAAAGATGTTGACATGGCTATTTTCACACTACCACAAAAAAAGCACTAAAGGGCCGTAATCCTGACATACATTCAGTACAAATATAACAAATGGCTGCAGGTTTTAAATTGAAGGGGGTGTCCAAGATCCATTTGAAAAGTGCATAAGAATTACACACCAAAAGCATCAAACCTGCCACAGCAGAGAAACACCTGTTGTTGCTGGAGATGGGCCAAAGCAGGCCATCTGGACCAATGTGGCACTGTGTGGAAACTCAGTCGGACCGTCACAAGAGGTCCAGCACACGTGGCACTGACATCATTTGATCTGACAGACATGGGTGCAACCGAGCCCCTTTCTCATCCCTTACCTGCCAGTTTCTGCAGACTTGTGCCAGGTACACAGCCGGACTGGCTAGACAGAAACCACAGGCCTATCCCGGAACTCTCTCTCAGGCTGTGTGGTGTGGACAGGCTAGTGGCCTAGTCAGATCAATACTTCTTTTAAATGAATAAGCAAGCTATGCTATGGGAGAAAATTACTTTCTTTAGCTCTGAGAATACAAGTGGAAGTAGATTTGCAATGACTTGACCTTCAACACTTCCTCTGCCCTTTGAAAAACTCCCCAATTTCCTCCCCAGCTTGCACCCTCTGCAGGTACTGGTTCTGCTCCAGAAGAGGCTGAATACAAAAAAGCTTGTTTGCCACATACTGTGGGAAACAGACAGCTCTCCTCCAAGACCAGCAGATGGAGCATGCTTGGTCCTACTCATTTATTTTTCATACTCAACCCCTTCCTGATGCTAAGCACCGCAAAAAGGAGTTAGAGATCTCAAGGGGAGGAAAGCAGAAGGTACAGAGATGGTTCTTGCTCTGAAGCGCTTTCCCACTGGTAGAGAGATAGAGCTTAGCGAGTCCTACTCCAGTAATAAACTGGTTATAGAAACCAAGGGCTGTGGAAGCCCAGAGGAGGGAATCACCACCTGAAAATGTTAGCTTAACTTTGAGCTGGACTTTGAACAAGATGCTCCTCCTTCAGGGCCTTCATAGCTGCTCCATCTCCCCAAAAGTTTTCTCCACATAGTTCAGGTCTTTGCTCAAATATCATCTCATCAATGGCCTTCCCTGAACACCATAGCTATTTACTCCACAGCACCTGTCACCATCAAATATACTATACTGTTAAAATTACGCTGATGGTAACAACTTTGCACACCTCTTGTAATTGGAGAAGTCAAAGGTCACTTGTTTTCATCTTTTGTTATCAGTATATTTGAGTGTTACAATTTTAATAGTTTTTTCCTTTCTTAAAATGTGTATACATTTTTGTGGCACCCTCTGTATATCTACTTGTTTATTTTTTACTTTGTTTTTATCAAATGTAAGCTCCATGACAGCAGTTTGTTTTGTATACTGAACTACCCTAAGCATGCATGTTGTGCATGGAAAACAATGCAAGCAATATATGTAATTTTAAAGTTTCTGGCAGCAACATTAAAAAAGATAAAAAGAAAACAGATGAAATTTATTTTACTAATATAATTTACTGAACCTAATACATTAAAAATATTATTCCCAACATATAATCAATATAAAAATTACTAATGAGTTCTTCTTAATAGTAAGTACTCGAAATCCAGGTGTATTTTGTACACTTATAGCCCATCTCAATTCGGACTGGCCTTATTTCCAAGGCTCAATGGACTCATGTGGCTAGTGGCTGGGGGACTTCACAGCGCAGCTGTAGATATTCCAATAAGCTACACTGTGCTCCATTTAGGTATCTGCTTTCAAGAGGAGGGGTCGGCTGGAGGTATGGGCATACAGAGGACAGGGAGTAACCATTCGCACGCGCGGGACCCGAGCAAAGCGCCCGCACCACAACTGTGCCAGGGGCAGGTTATTTCCCAAGTCATCATTTCCTCCCAGCTACCCAGGATGCTATTTAAAATAAGGCAGCACAGAAAGGAGGCGAGTCCCTTCTGCACACCCGTACTTCCGAACCTGCGTCCGACGCTTCCCGCCGAGTGACTATGAGTCGCCCCTGGCGGAGCGCCCGGCGCAGAGTGGGTGGTCACAGGGGCGGCTATGATAGCATCGTTCTGACCGGCACTCCGCTTCCAGAGATCAGACCGTCCATTGTCGACCCCGGGGGTGCTCAGCGACGCACGTCCCTCGCTCTCTCCAAATAATAACCTCCTGGACGCCACCTTGGAGACGAGCTCCCGCCGCAGGGTTCCCCCGGGACGAGACCCGCCGCTCGCCCACCCACGCGTCCAGGACACCCATCGTTTAGAACCCAGGCCCTCACCACGGCAGTTCGTAGTGGCCGGCGCTGCCGGAGGCCTTGGTGGGGGCAGGGGCAGAGCCCTGAGCCCCGGACTCGCCCGCGCCACGGAGTCCCTCCGGCACCTCCATTCTTCCGCCGGCTCTTCCCGCCGCCTAAGTCCCCGCCACATGACGCCATCACGCAAGTCCCGCCCCAGAGATGCGAGGGACACCGGGCGCGAGCGAAGCCTTGTGCCCGCCTCCTTCCGCGCCTGCGCAGAGAGCACCGGCCGGGCGGGTCGTCGGTTGCTAGAGGCCACGGTTGCTGTGGGAGACCTGGCGTCCGGTCGGCGAGAGAGGAAAGCGAGACCTGACCGCATCGTCTTCCGAGAAGGGAGGTCGCTTCAGAAAGGGACATTCGGCGGTTTTCGTTTTTGTGTGACTTGTTGGGAGGCCCTCTTCGCGCGGGCCGTAGAACAGCTGCGCCGCGGTGGGGCAGCGCGCACGCGGGGGCAGCCCTGGCGGGGTAGGAGCGCGCTGCTCTGTGCAGGGAGGAGCAGTGGCCTGTGCGCATTCCACCTAAACGCAGTACCCAGCGGCGTACACGGACAAGGACTGACGTCCAGTGGCGCTGGATGGCGGAAATCCGACGTCTGGAACCTGTCGGGTCCCAGTTTTCCGATTGCTCAGAATGTTCCGATGCAACACCAGCTCCCATTGGGTGGGCTCCTGCGCCCTGGAACTTGACATTTATTATCAGGGAATTCTCACAATGCTGCAAGATGGCCATTACTCCCATTTTGCAGAGGAGGCAACTGCCCCGCTAAGATGTAACTCAATTTCATTTCAGAGAAATAGGTACTTAAGATTCACAAGTGTTTTCAGCACTCTTTTGGGCTGGTTTTCTACCTATTGAACTAATCTTTTCTCCCATAGCCCAAATGCCGTAATAATAATACAAGGTGGATATTCATATTATCCTCGTTTTACAGATGAGGAAACAGGCTTGAGAATCATTGGATAATTCGTCCAATGTCTTTTAGGTTGCAAGTGGTGGAGCCAGGATTCATTCCCCACAATGCTGCCAAAGCAATTCAAATAAAATTATATTTTATTGCACACCATATTGCATTACAGTTTGGGGGTAAAAACTGGCTTTAATGCCTGAATTGAAGGCAAGGATTGGGACCTATTTATCTCTATCCCCATTGCTTAGCACAAGGCCTGGTGCACTGTAAATGTTCAATTCCAGGGTCTTGAATCCACAGTGAGGATCCGCCTTTCCAGAATAGTTTGGGTAAGCTTTGAGGAACTGGGCTGCTTTCACTAAAGGACTAATCAAAGCCCCATGGCCGTTTTCCTTCCATCAGCAGTCAAAATCTGTATGTTGTTAACATAAGAAAAACTGCCAAACCTGTAATTTTTATGAGTTTATTTGAGCCAAACTGAGGACAATTGCTGGGAAGCAAAATCTCAGTGGAGAATTTGAAAAAATGCTCTCCGGATGGCGTGGCGACAGTTTTGCCACTTATTTTTTACATTAAAATCAAAGGAGAAGCTATAAGGGGGGTTACATGAAATCCATTGGAGGTAGATTTAAGGGGGTGGGAAAAGCAAAGCAGGGAAATCTCGGGTTGGATCAAAAGGCAAAATAGAGAAACATACTTCTTTATATTGGTGGGTACAGGATAGTTAATTAACATTTAAAGCACATAGAGATGGTATTCGGGCAACAAGATAACTATGGGGTTCTGTGGTGTGCTCTGGTGCCAGCGGTTGAGCCTTGAAGGGTTTGGAAAAGAAGATTACTCTGACATTTCAAAGGTATGTTATCTTAGATGTAAAAAGCCAATAGACTGGCTCACTTGAGGTAAAGATTGACCTTTGTCAAGGGAGCTACAGGCCCCGTACGTGACCACCCACCATGACCTGCTGTCAGTTAGGAATTTTTATGTGCAGGCCATCCTGTGTGGTAACTTTCGGTCCCAGTTTGTAAGGCCTGCCATGCGGGCATCCCCTGAGCTTGTCAGGTTTAGTGTGTGATCCCTTTTTTGTCCTCAATATATAATGTTGATTAGTCATTCAAATAAATATGGGCTCCAGAATCTATATTGTAGGTGATTGTTTTCTATTTTTATTTTTTAGTCCCCCCCTCCCAAGAAGCCTTGCCCATTATGACAGTTTATTGGAGAAGACAATATTGCTGTTATATTAATTTTTCATTTGTAAACTCTGTGCTTCATCTTTCCAACCCGAGTGTTTAGTTCCTTGAGGACATGGTACCTACCCCCTGATTCCTAGTTTCTTCCCTTGTACACAGTAGCCTTGGAGCTGATGTCTGCCGATTGCTCATTCCAGCTACGCAGCCAGGCCAGCAAGGTCCCAGCAGCAGGCACAATTCACAATTGTGTACTATGAGATGAGACGAGAACATGTGCTTCCTCATTCTTTTCAAGTTATTGCCAGTTAGGCAGGAACCTCAAATGACTCAAATTCTGAAGCAGTTTGTTTTAATAATGGTAATTCAAAAAGTCTCCAGGTTCAGAACTTACTTGGTGTTTTTTTCCTTCTTTTTACATGATTTGGGAAAAATGCTTGAGGTTGGCAGTCTCTTCCATTCCCTTTTAAACCAATGGAGCCATCTCATATGTTTTTTTTTTCTTTTTTAATTATTAAAGTTTTTGGGGGTGACAATGGTTAGTAAAGTTACATAGATTTTAAGTGTACAATTCTGTACAAATCATCGATATATCACATTGTGTGTTCACTCATATAGTTTTGAAATCACTATTTCTTCATTTCTCTGAAGGAGAAAATATAAATTTTTCTTGAAATAATAAACTTTTCTTGAAAGTTTCTTTGAAGTTTTCCCTTGGGATCATTCCCATGTGGTGATATTCATACTTTCCTTATAGTCAGCTGTTACACACACACACTGGATGTTTGTGACTAGGAACTAAACATTTTCAATAAATGTAGAAAACTGTGTACCATTCTTTCCCCTTTCATGGTTCTTCTCCAAAAACCCCACTCTATAAGAGTCCTGTTGGTGTTCCCGGGACTCTGCTCTCACTGATGTGCTTGGGATGCCAGGAGAATCAGAGAAGGAGGTGACCTTTGGCACAGAACTGCACTATCAGGACATTTTTCTTTTCTATAGATCAAGCCTTCTGTGACTTGTTGGACTTGGGCCCAGACAAAGCTTGCAGCTTAAGAACTCCAGCCCTTTGTTAGGGCCACACAGCACCCCCTAGGGCCACACAGTAGCTAGTGGGTTTGGGGAAATCACAGGCTCTTGTGAAAGAGCAAGGATGAGCCAAGTGAATTCCTATTCTTCCCACCAAACAAATGTGAAATCCCAGGAAATTGAATTCACTGCTAATTTAGCTCCCAGACTCTCATCCCACAAGAGGGCAGTTAGTTACACAAAAGAGGGAAGACTAGAAAGGAGATGAAATTGAAAACAATCCTTTACCTCAAGTCAGAGCCTTCCAATCAAATTATCAAATAGGACAGGCAACAAATCTTGGTTAAATTGACACCTTCACTAAAATTACACCATATAGCCCACTTCCACTGTTGCTGGATGGGGTTGAAAATCTGTTGCCATCTCAAGATCAGGATACTGGACATGCCTACTTTCCACCCACCGGTAGCCTCCTTTGGCCCAGAATGTTGAACTTGCTTGATGCCGTTTGCCTTGTTTACAATGAATTTTTACAAATTCATCTGTTGTTTTCCAGTAGATTTCTTTATGAATTTTAGCTTTTTTTTTTTTTTTTACTTTACTGGGGAATTAGGGGGAAGCGGAACATTGTGTTTTTCCAGGACCCATGAGCTCCAAGTCAAGTTGTCCTTCAGTCTTAGTTGTGGAGGGCGCAAGCTCAGCTCCAAGTCCAGTCACCTCTTTCAATCTAGTTGCGGGGGCACACAGCTCACCATCCCATGCAGGGGTCGAACTGGCAACCTTGTTAAGAGCACACGCTCTCACCAACTGAGTGGCTGCTCAGCTCAAGGTTATCTTTTTTTTTTTTTAAGATTTTTATTGGAGAATTGGGGGGATGGGAACAGCGTTGGGGAATTGGGGGAAGGGGAACAGACAAGTTGCTGTCATTTTGTTCTTCAGTCTAGTTGTGGAGGATGTTGCTTCACTGGCCCAAGTGGCACCATCATTGCGCTCTTCCCGGGCGAGGCAGATCAGTCACCGGCTTCTGGACGGCCGCTCACTGCGGCTGCTGGCCGCTCACGCTGGCTGCTGGCTACACACGGTAGCCCATGGCAACCCAGTGCCACAGGGGCTGCAGCCTATGCCGTCGCCAGCGACTCAGGGCAGCCCAGCTCCAGGTTGAGCTGTTGTTCAGCATCTTAGCTGTAGAGGGCAGTGTCACTGGCCCTCATATGTGGGATCCGAACCGGGGCCCTCTGGCATCCCAAATCAGTTCTTAACCATCGCGCCACTCGGCCGGCCCAAGGTTATCTATTTTTTAAAATGGTGATACTATCACTGAAATAATTTTCTCTCAGACACTTCAGTGTTTTGTCCTTAGTTTTTCTGACATTCTTATTAGCATTTTCAATGTTAAAAGGTTATTATTGTAATGAAAAATACATTTATGGTATAAGAATTAGTCATTTGGGTAACATTTGCCCTCAGGAATTGCTCTATTAGATGTGTAAAATTTGGAAGCTGGTAATCATTTATCCTGACTTTTGGTTTCTGTCTTTTATAAATATTGATTCAGTGCCTATAGCTACTGTGATAGGCGCAGGATGTGAACAGGGCAAGCTTCTGGCCCTCAAGGAACTCAAACTACAGGAGGGAAACACATACCTAGCAACCAATCATATGTTTATTTAATTACAAGTGTTAGAAAGGAATTGATTAGTTGTTAGGATATCAGCAATGCGATACCACCCCACCTGGGAGATCAGGAAGGGCTTTGCTGGGGACGGGCCTTTGACCAAAATCTGAACCCTGACTCTGAGATCTGAACACCTGTTGGCTTTGCCTGGGAGGTACCTCCTAACACCTCCCTGTCTCCCACCGCTCTCTCTTGTAACCCTATTTATTTCTTTATTGTACTTATTCACAATCTATAATTATCTGGATTTATTGCCTTGTTTGTTTTTTCACCCCTCTCCGCCACCCAATGGTAGCTCTTGGAGAACAGGAACTCTCTCTGTCCTGGCCCCCATTGTACCCC